TTGTGGCCTTCCAACAGGGCAATGGGTAGCGTGTCGGACCAGAGAGCGTGAGACCAGGGACCGAGACGGACACAAAAAATTTATTACAATATCTTTTGGTTATTTACACATTCATTGTCATTGATATATTAACCAACTAGGGGGCACTGTCGGGACAGTCTGAAGCCTAGAAGGCACAGTAGGGACCCTCTGAAGCCATTGTATAGGACTGATAACGCCTAATAACGTCCATTTCATGGACTGATAACATCAGAATCCCCTGCCCTAATCCTCTTTCATAGATGCAGGATTTAGTTAAATCATTTTTTTACTTCTAAGAGCAAAACTCTCAACCATTAAACACTCTGTGTAACATTTAGAAGGCTAGATTGCCAATTTTGCTTTCAGCTAATAAAAAAGGTAATAAAGGCAAAAAAAAAGAATTATAGTAAAACTGCATCCCTGTGAATTAAAATGTGCTGTGAAGTCTCTGATCTAACTGGGATCAGGAGGAAAGTTCACAGATGTGAGTGAAACCGTGGCTTCCTCTGTGTGTCTCCATCTGCTGACATGAAAACCATTCCGAGCATCTTTCAGCCAGATGATGGAAGTTACGACAGTAAGCAGACTATTGAACAGCTGTGTGTCATTTTTAGAGTGTCGAAGCTTCTCCCTGACTATTAGTGGTTTATATAAGAAATGTTTTAAAGGTTTCCTCATGGCTGATCCTGATGATAACCGAAGCGAGCAATTAGAAAACGTGAACACTCTGTGGAAGGGAAGCAGTTTTAGGGAGAAAGGAAAATACTCGACTTGAGAAAAAAACTAAATACGCATTTGTTGTGTTGAAGATGGAGGCAACATTCATGCACAAGTTCACGGGTAAGAAAACTGAAGCCATGTTCTGTCTCCTGAGAGTTCCTCTTCCTCTGTTCTTCCTGTTGGTTTGACCTCAGCTGTTTCCCATGACCACTTTTCTCATGAGCACGCTCACAGCATCCATTTTATCCTCGAGTTATAAATAGACTCAATTACTTTCTGATCTAAACAGACTTGGCTATTTGACAGATACTCGCCACATACCAGAGTAACTATTGCAGACTCATGAGCAGCCAAGGCAGCATTACAGGAGTTTCTCCTTTTGCTCAGCCACTCTCTAATGCCTGTATTGGCTGCCCTCTATAGTCCAAGGGCATCAGTTTTGCCAACCACCTTAGACGGACGCTCGATCCAACCAATTAAATTAAGCTACAAAAATAACATCACCACCCAGTTAATTCCAGTTCTTGTATCTCAACGGGACAGTGCCAGGTTGGATCGTTTCAAGTTAATGATGCCACAGAGGGACAAATGATTCAGACGGTGAGCAGCAGTGCTGATCTCTCAGGTGGCAGATGAGGCGACCTGTCAGCTTGAATAAAAACCAAAGTAACAACGTTGCTGCTGATGTAGCTCAGGCTGCTGGTTAATATGAGTGAGCCACAATGAAGACAGAATTTAAAAAAAAAAAAACTACAGACCTAATTTAAAGAAATCATTTCATCATAGCTCATGATCCACTAGATGAATGCAGAGGTGCACTGATCTGCAGAGACATAACCCAAACTGTATGGCTCGGTACGAGGGCCAAAATTAAGACTATTGTGCAACCAGTGGTTGCTACATCCTTGTAGCAGGAGGCTGTATTTATTCCTAAGCTAGCTATTGATCTGATTAATGAGAGGCCCAAACTGGTAACTGAGCAGCTGGCACTGGCAAATGAGGAGACTTTTCATTTGGGTTAGCATTGGAGAGGCTAGTGACTAGCATCGATAAGCTGGCATTAGCATTGGAGAAGCTAGCTGCAACATGGATAAGCTGGTGTTAGCTCTGGAGAAACTAGCTTCTACATGGACAAGCTGGTGTTAGCATTAGAGAGGCTAGTGACTAGCATGGATAAGCTGTTGTTAGCATTGGATAAGCTAGCTGCTACATGGATAAGCTGGTCTTAGCATTGGAGAGGCTAGTGACTAGCATCGATAAGCTGGTGTTAGCATTGCAGAAGCTAGTTGCAACATGAATAAGCTAGTGTTAGCATTAGAGAGGCTAGTGACTAGCATGGATAAGCTGGTGTTAACATTGGAGAGGCTAGTGACTAGCATGGATAAGCTGGTGTTAGCATTGGATAAGCTAGCTGCTACATGGATAAGCTGGTGTTAGCATTGGAGAGGCTAGCGACTAGCATGGATAAGCTGGTGTTAGCATTAGAGAGGCTAGCGGCTAACATGGATAAACTGGTGTTAGCATTAGAGAGGCTAGCGACTAGCATCGATAAGCTGGTGTTAGCATTAGAGAGGCTAGCGGCTAACATGGATAAGCTGGTGTTAGCATTAGAGAGGCTAGCAACTAGCATGGATAAGCTGGTTTTAACACTGGAGAGGCTAGTGACTAGCATGCCTAGGCTGCTTACCTACTTCAGACACAAACATTTTTGAATAAAGAAAACTTTCTCAACAAAAATGGTTGACAGTAGATTAGATTAGCTAGACCTTTACTGTCTTTGTACAGAGAACAATGAAATTACAGAACACCCATTCAGGAGAAGACAGAACACAACAAACAGACATACAAAACCTATATGGGACGTGAACTGACAGGTGTTCCTTAGACAGAATTTAATGTTCAACATGACATCAAGCATAAACATTAAACATAAAACATATTACTGTGAAGCAGACAGCTTCAGTTACCACCTGAATTAGCAGCTGTGTTTGTCCCTGTCTATTAGTCGATGCGGCTGTTTTTCTTTTTGTTGTTGTTTTTTTGGCTGAATTATGAGAAAAGCCAAAACTATTAAGTTAGTTTTTACAGGGTATTAAATTAGGCTTGTCTATATTGAATTATAGTTTATAATGTCATATATAGATATTTCTCATAATTAATCAGATCAAAAGCTGGCTTAGGAATAGATAGCCTCCTGCTACAAGCATGTAGCAACCAGTTCCGCAATAGTCTTAATTTTGACCCTCGTGCCATGCCATACAAACTGTGAGTGTCTAATYAAAAACAGACTAAACACAAAATCAATCCATCCATTTTCTTTGGTTTGCAGGGAGCTCAACTTAATACAGCTCAGACCTACACAAAATATATTTTTAATTGTGGCTTAAAACCATCAACATTCATCAACGAGAATCAAAATGACTCTTCTTTTTTTTTTTTTTTTTTTGTCTTTTTGAGCTGCCATGTTGTCTTTTTGGAGTCTGCTCACTCAGGATGTTGAGCTTCCCCATCCATTTAAAAGTCCCGCCTACACACCCTCCCAACTGGCTAATAGGTTTGTCAATCACAGTATGCTCATTTTTTTGAGCTTCAAATAACTAAAACTAAATGTATAAAAAGACATATATCAGTGATATAGTATATAATGTAATTGCACTTCTCAGCTGAGAAAAATCCCACGTGACTCAGGGGGAATATCATTTTCTCCCCGCGGTCAGGAGCTTGTCATAAGAACATGTCTGAAGCTGTCTGCAGACACGTTTACCTGTGGGTTCCAAAAACCATCCAGACACAGAACAGCGAAGGAGTTCAGTGATTGTTGTTTGTTGTAGAAAAGAAAGAGTTTCGTTTTTTTATGTTGACTTTCTCTCAAACCAGCTCCTCTCCCTTTTTTTTTTTTAATTTTTTACATTTTCTTTTCCATGAATGCTCTGTTTCTTTTCTCAGCAAACGTTTGGGAATCCATTCTAGTTTGTAATCCACATAATCCACACAATTCGCAACATTTGTGTCCGATTGTTTCTGCGACCGCAGACGGTGCCAGAGGCGGGTTGCAACAGTGAAAACTTGAAGAAGCCATACGTCTTCCTCACATCGAGCATGGCCGGGCTTGCAGCTCAGAAGCCAAACAAACTATCACCTGCATCAGCAACAGCTCTTCTTTGGTTTGGATTTTTTTTACCTCTTTTAACATTTGGATGTATTTCCTTTTCTGGTCTCATATAACATATTGTCATTATTTCATTAATTATCATCTTAATAGTAAAACCCCCAAAAAGTAACAAATACATCAGTAGCACAATATTGACAACACAAAATGATGCATTTCCTTTTCCTCTGTCTTAAAAAAAACATCAAATTTGATCATTTTCATGGATCAGTTTCATCCTGAATACTCCTTTATTTGAACTTTCAAACCATAAAAAGCTAAAACAACACGCAATAAAATATTTTTCATTTTGTTCCACTGCCCTCCCTTGGCGTTCTGATGGTTAGTGTGTTTTATCACAGCAAAAATACATATTGCAGCAAAAAATTTGGTTAAATAAATAATAATAATAATAATACAATAATAATAATTTACAATATGGTCACCCAAGCCAAATGGCTGGCTCACTGCTGCCAACTAGTGGTCAGAGGCTGAAC